GACCCCCCCCCCCCCCCTCATCTTCTTCCCCAAATAGAATTTTAGACAAAACATAAAATGTTAGATCTAAAATTGAGCGGTTTTCGTTGGTTTATTGTCCAAATATTGTGAAAACCATTTATTTGTGATAGATTTAAAACTTTAACAATAGTATTGAATGATTGGTGAAAAAATCTAGAATCTACCATTGTTGGGATATCGAAAAAAGCTTGAAAATTCAATTGGGTCTTGTTGATTATTGGGTTGTTGAACTCAATTTGTTGCTCGATTATTTTCGGCTAGTTGTTTAGATAGTTTGGTTGAATTTTGGTGTTGTTGGAAACTTTCTCACAAATTAAACAACCATAGTGACAACAACAATGGTGCTTAAGATAGAAAATGAGAAGATGAAGAAGATGGGTTTTGATTGTAATTCTAATATAATTTTTTCCTTTTAAAGTCAATGACACGTGTCACGACCCTATTAGGGCGTGACTTTCACGTCATCTGAAAAATTGGTCAAGCACAAAAACGGTATGTCTTAGACACACTTCTGAAAGATTGAGTGTGTAAAATTTTTTTCGTGAACAAGAAATGTGTAGCAGGAATTTCGCTGCAAAATCGATGGGTAAACTATGTATTTAATTAAATGCGTCTATTTTGGTCCCTATACACTGTATCTATCGATTCTCCCTCCATATCTGCTCCATTCCTAAGTACTATGTAGGATGCAACAAATGAACAAAATTTATCAGATTTTATTTTATGTATATATGTAATGTTATTATCTGCTTCATTATCTCTTATTTTGTCCAAAAGTATTGCTTCGGTCGACATCTCCCAAAATCTTAGGACCCGTTTGGCCATAAATTTTGCCAAAATAAACTTGGATTTTATTTGGCAAATACATGTTTGGCCATAGATTTTGCCTATATTTTGGCAAAATTCCAAATCCCAAAACCAGCTCAATAGTTGGTCTCAATAGCCAGTTTTGGGCCAAAATATTTACAAACACTAATAATATACATGTTTTTCCAAAAGGCAGAATACATAAGTTAACACCTTAGTTATGGACCAAATCCCTGTTACACACTATTTGCGGACAAAAATAACTTTACACACCCAACATTTTCAGAGTGTGTCAAATACACACTACTTTTATATTTAAGCATTTCAGAAAAAGTGAGGTATGTCACGCACCAATAATATAGTACCACGTGTCATTAATTTTAAAATAAAATAAATTATTGTGAAATTACAGATATACCTCTAAACTATTCTCCCTTCCATCCCTTTCTCTTCTCCACCTAATCTCCATTGACGCCAAAACCACAAAAAATCCACAATTATCACCTTCCGATTATAAAGCAAAATTAGGAACTCAAGTACATTAATCACAAGTTTGTGAGTCCGGATTCAAATCTAACACAAGAAATATGATGCAAAACTCAAAACTCCATTAAAGTTGGTTATGGCCAAATCCATGGTCGCTCGATTCACGGTCATCTTCTCTGATTAAAAAAAATTAGGTATTTTGACAGTTGATTATGGCCAGAATCTGTGGCATTATTTAGTGCAAATAAGCAACCAAAGTGATGAAAGCGCGAGCAACAAAGAACAACTTTATAAAAACGGCCCGTAAATAACAAATAGAGTTAGTTAATTCTCAGCATCTTTTGGCTCATCTCCGATATCCCTCAACACCAAATTAATATTCTACCACATTAAATTTGTATACTTAAATTGTTACTACTAAATTACGATTCAAACCCAGATTTATAGAATTCTTTTAACTTTATTTATCAATTTCTTCCAAAACCTTTTTATATTATTGTTATTCTTAAAATGGTGGACAGAGAAGATGGGAAAAGGGGTGGGGAAGAAGACGAAAATGGGAAAAGGGGGAAGGTCAGCAACAAACTGATAGGGGCGGGGTTCCGGGGAAGAAGAACAGGTAGGGGTGGGTTAAAGTGAAGGGAAACAAAATAATTTTAAAAGGCAAAAATTTAAAACTTTGACACGTGTCCTTTAAGTAAGAATTGGGATAAAAATTTCTACAGTTTAATGCGCTTATAATTTTTGTT